TGGGGGGGGGGGGGGGGTTGTAGGTATTTGGTGTTGATGTGTGCACAATCTGTCCAGGATACCAATTACCACCACTATAAAAAATAAAATGTGAACTTACGCTGATGTTTTGTGAGCTAAAAGGTGTTGCCTTTATAAATATTTGACGTAGTCTTGGTTCATAGTTGCTTAAATTATCTTTACGTCCCTGTGATCTTACTCATCAAACTTGGGAAATAGAACATGTTGAGAGAAACACAGCACCTCGTGCTCGTTTGGTTTTTATATTCTAAAATGTTCTATCCTCTGAGCAAGAAGAACTTTATTGGTTAGAGTAACTTCGAAGGACTTCAACCAGTTCAAGTGTTCCGGTTCATGCAAAGCAACCTGCGAAAGGAGTTCTTACAATAATCTTCATGTAAAGGAGTTTCTAGGAGAGAGAAGGATGTTTTGTCCTTGACTCCTTGCTGCAAAAGTTCAGATAACACTCCTAATAAGTGAAGCCACAAAATAATGGCTACTGAAAGTCTTACCTTAATGAATTATGAATCTTCTTCATGAAAACACTTTATTAGTGTCAAACATATCATCATTTAAAAAGCACATTTACAATATTTGCAATTTCTCTACATATGCATGTGATTCTTCAGAACATATTTTTTCCCAAGTTTCTCCTGACTCATATCTGTGAAAGGAAGCTCATTTACAGTGGTCAGTCATATATACAGCTAAATTTATCACATAATAGAGAACTAGAAATGGCATGAGCTTTGTGGTATATCTTATGTACCCCCTTTGCTAATGGGAGAATCAAATCTTTCTCTATTTAAATTGTGTACTCGTATCCACTAGATATGTGATGTCCCATCACACATTGCCACATAGAATTTAGATGATCTGTAAAATGTTCTTTACACCTAGAGATACAAGCTGATTCGAATTGGTAAGAAAAAGCCCTCCATTAAGGAATTATCAATTCCATATGACCTGATTGGATCTAAAAATAATCATTCTTGGGCTCTCTACAGATTCTAGAACTTTAATGAGGGAAGAATGCTATGAAGGTTGAACATCAGTTACTGAAATTTTCACTTTATAAGACTTGAGTTGTGTAAACCAGGCTTGATCAGTTGATAGATTCTGATTGCTCAGTAACCTAAATATTACATATATGAGTTGCAGGTAGGAAATTACAAGAATTTCTCTGTTACTTAGATATGTACTGTGTGGAACTCAATACTCTTCCTAATTGTTTCTCCCTCTACTTCTTGTTGTTTCTGTGAATGTTTGTGCACCAACGCAAATGAGATTCGTGCAACCATTAGGCTGTGCTTGAGTATCTCCAATGTGGTTAGTAAATAATAGTGAATACTTCTATCTGTTCATCCAGTACTGGCAATCTTAATTGAGCTAATACTTGGTGATAGCATGTCCAGCATGTATAGATGATAGGCTAAGACATTTTGGGGGGCTTAATGTGTGTTGTATTATATGTACAGGATACGTCTGAGACCAATGTGGTGTAACATTAAATACTCCTGAATTATTAAAAAGGAAAACGAAAACGATATGTGCTATGGATGTGATCTGGGTTACAAGTTGCACTTCTTTTTTCTTCTATATTATAGCAAAGCTCCGATGGTCTAGAATCCTTGAACAAATTTTAGTTGCACAAAGTCCAACAGGATACTGTGAATATGGACCTTATATATTAATGGAATATCCTTCAACTCCTTTTGATGTTGTGTTTCTTTCCCAGGGTCTTCCTTCCTTCTTTGAGCCCTTAATTTGACAGCTGCTGTGCTTTCCGTTATTTGGAAAGTTATCTTCCACATGTCGTGCCATATCTGGTGGCATTGCCTCTATCTTCTTCGCAAGGCTTAAGGCTAGGTGTGGTTGATCTCAGTTGTTTTTCATGTTCCAACATCAGACATGATACCGTATCTATTTCTTGTTGATTGTTACTTGTTTTGTTTTATTTATAATAACCAACAAATCCATGAGGGCTAGTGGCCTACAGTTCAAAACTTGGTGGATAATGGATCCACTCATCTACCATTCTCCTCTCAAGTACCCGACTTTTGTTTGTGGTAGGGATCTAAGCCGTGATGTGTGCCTAACCCACAAATTGCGCTCTTGCCACTAACCAAAGCCTTTGGGCAAATTGTTATTTGTTTATTAAGCATTCTTCTGTAGTTTACCGACAATACATACTACAGAATTGCTGATGATGTAACATGTGCAGGAAGAACTTGAATTGCTTGACAAAATGGAAAAGGCATCAGCTGCTTGCAAGGAGTAAGTACAAACATAATATATTTAACTTGATATCTGTAAAGCCTTGAGACCGTAGATCATTCCACTCCTTCTCTGGATATGGAGCCGATTGTGCAGACCCCAAGGCCCCTTTTTGTAGTATGACCTGCATAAAAGCATTGGCTAGATGACATACATTCTGTTCAGTGCATGTTATGGTTATCTAACTTGATTCTCTTACATGGGCTTAGGATGCTAAGTAATGTGGAAACAAGGCCAGATCCATTACTACCAGTGTAAGAATTACTCTTCATTTATCGCAGCGTCTTATGAGTGTCATATTTCGCTAAATTTTATGATATTTCCTCCACCAGAACACACGGTCCAACAAATCCTTCCTGGGATCGATGGTTTGAAGGAGCACAAGACGCATCAGGTTGCAGGTGCTGGATATTGTGAATTTGTGACGACCCTCAGCTGATTTTGGAAGTTCTACTGATTGGAGAGGAAGTTGAAGTGTTTGTATTCACAGTTTGTTGCCTTATACAGAGGTCTTATGTGCAGAAAATGACTTTTTTTTTTTATATCCCTTAAGAGTTGAAATTCAAGATTTCTAATCTTTATTGCTAGGTCACTCAGCATTGTGCAGATGACATTTTCTAATTTCTATTGTAACATCATAACAAGTATTTGCTTGTGTTTAGAAATGATTCATAATACCTGTCTCAGTTGCTAAACCTTCAACCAAGAACCACTGTATGTTATTTGTTTCAACGTTTATTTTGGAGCTTGACATGAGTTGAACATAAATAAAATACCGAGGATTCATATAGCCAATCCCAACCTATTCGAGATTGAGGCATAGTTTGATTTGGAGCTAAATAAGCAATTGTGCATTTCATCTCAAAAACCTTTCTTTACGATGTGTATATATAGGATAGTAGAAAGTAGTTATCCAGAAACATGAGCGCAAATTAAGTATACAATAATTTTGCTAATACGACACTTATTTTGAGACGAAGAAAGTAATAAGATTTAGGGAAAACGATTAGACATACTACATCTAAACCATATATGCCAATTGTACATATATTTTCAAAATAATTACGTATTTTATCACTAATTAAGAGTTTTCTATCATATATTGAAGAAGATACACCTAGATACATGTATTTTTGCTAGCAGATAAATACATTAAAATAGGGAGAGAGGTGAGCGAAAACATGAGGGAATTAAGCGAGATTTGTCTATATATTTCAGATAGATGTGAATCAACATACTAGATACACACAAGATATATGTATTTGTTTGTATCTCGTGTGATTCACATGTATCTTGAACAAGAGGGAAGCGAGCGAAATTTGTCTTAGATACATGGGAGAGTGACTAGTGAGATGGGAGGGAGGCGAGCGAGATTTGTCTATATATTCCAGATACATACAAATACACTTACTGTATATCTAAAATAAATTACACCTAATTTTGACTATTTATATTTCGAAACACATTATGTAAACATATATCTGATAAAATTCGTAATATTATAAATTAAAATGTATCTAAATAATTAGCTCGTCAGATTTTCGAAAGTTTTTAGAAAAATTTAAAATTGGTATCCCACAAAATCCACTTTTATCCGACCCATATAAAAAACCTTCTCCATTTCTTCCATTCCCCAAAAATCAGAAATGGCAACTGGTTCTTCTCGTCCTCCCCAGAAAACCTACGATCTCGAAATCACCATCGTCTCCGCCAAGCATCTGAAAAATGTCAATTGGCATCACGGCGATCTCAAGCCCTATGTTATCTTTTGGGTCGACCCGGATCAACGTCGCGCCACACAAGCTGATGATTCCGGCAATACCCGACCCGTTTGGAACGAACGATTCGTCCTCCATCTTCCCCAATCTCAATCTCCTCCTCACGATGCTGTTCTTACTCTTGAGATCTTCCATTCAAAACCATCGGAAACTCCCAAACCTTTAGTCGGTACACTTAGGGTTCCGTTGAAGGAACTGGTTAACGTCGACGATTACAACAAAATCAGAACTTTTGAGCTCCGGCGACCTTCCGGTCGTCCTCATGGTAAGATCCGACTCAAGCTTGCTATTCGTGAATTATCTCCAACCCTAGATTACCAAATACCCCCTCCTTCTAGCTATTATTACTCTACTGCCCCTCCTCCTCCTCCCCCTTCCTATAGAACATTTCCTTCTTCCCCATACCCCTCACACCCTCATCCTCCTCCGTCGCATGTAGTGGCACCGCCGCCACCTGCTTCTCCATCACCACCACCTCCTCCTCCGCAGCAACATTCTTTTCCTTACAGTGGATTCTCTGATCCTTACTCTACTTACTTCCCTGGGTATTACTCTCAACCTCCCCCTCCTCCACGACCATTTGTAGAGCGGCAATCTAGCTATGGCAGTTTGGGTTCGAGGCCAAGCGCCCCTGTTGATTATTATCCTCCTTACGATCAGAAGCGTAGTGGGAAAATAGGGATGGGGGTAGGCACCGGATTGGCGGTTGGAGCAGTGGCTGGTACACTTGGAGGATTGACATTGGGGGAAGGATTGAAGTATGAAGAAGCCAAGATTGCAGAGAGAGTTGAAAACAACACATCAGCCAGGGATGATTACAGCAATTACAGTGAATATTGATGCTGATGTTTCTTACTGGATGAAGTTCTCTACACTAATGGGTAATCAATCTTGTGTTGTTTTTAATGTTTGAAGAAGGTGTATTTTGTATATAAAGCTTGTTCATTTTCAATGGATTACTCCTCTAATGATATATGATGAATTATGTTAATTCAGCTGTTTTTGAGTTTCTTCTATGAAGGGTTCTACTGGTATATATATATATGTAATTCTACTTCTATCCATGATGTAGTGTGGTATGTTCAATTGTGTTGCAGTGTTTCGATAAATATAATATTTGGATAGATTATTATATCGTTTTTCACCTTCTCGTAATATCATGGATCCGTCTATCTATGAAGCCAACTGAAGTGTCAAAAACACACTTAAATTAGCTTTTTTTTTATAGTTTGATATCTAAATTATTGAGAGTCTGTGTCTTATATCTAAACTACCACTCAATTTTGTTGGATATGTAATATACATAACATAATTGCTAGCAAGGATTCATAATAAGTATGTACCATGGGTAAAGGATTCGCCAAACTAACGGAATTATTCATATCCTATGTATACATACGTAGTTTCGAGAGTTTTGGGCTAAAATCATTCCTTAAGTATAATTCAAATTTAGAGTACATCATTATGGTATAATTATGAACAAAAAACACCCTTTAACTATTCCAAACTTTGCAATATACATCCTTCTTAGGGCCAAACCGATACATAACCTCTCAAACTTGCCCTCATTTTTTATTTTTAGCACTTCATTTTGGCCTTGTTCTATTTTAACTCTTAGACTCCATTTTTAATGTACCATCTAAAAAGCGAAATACTAATTTTTATGATTTCTTTATTTTTATTTATGTTCTTCAATTGCAATTTCTTATTTTAAAAATCGATACGTGTCCGTTAATTTTTGTGAATAAAATTAAAAATTAACGAATGAACATCAATTTTTTTGAAATAATAATAATATTGTTTTTTTCGAGATTATCTCTATAGTTTTGCATGAAAATAAATTGATGAAAGTGTTTGATTTTCTTTCTTAAACGTTCAATTAAATTAAATAATACCGTATATTTTATTTTATTCATATTATCCCGGCTATCTGAATTTAACACAAATACTTGCTTTGTAATTTTTAATTTAATTCAATATGAATTAAAAAACTCACCTTCAATACGAGTAAAACAAAAGAAAGCTCTTGTTCATTGCTAATAACACTACTAAAAAAAATACTAAAACTCGACAAATTTCGTCGAGCTGTTAACGATTTTTTAAGAAAGAAAACCAACACAATTTGGGATGTTATTTTTCATGCAAAAATACATAAAATTTCTCAAAAAAAATATTGTTTTAAAAAAAATAATATTTGTTCATTAATTTTTAATATTTCTTATGAAAATTAATTAGCACACGTCGATTTTTAAAATAAGAAACTATAGTTGAAGAACATAAATAAAAAAAATAAAAAAAATTATAAAAAAAGGTATTTTGTGTTTAAATGGTACATAAAAAAAAAGAGCTTAAGGGTTAAAATGGAACAAGACTAAAATGGAGTGCCAAAATGAAAAATGAGGACAAGTTTGAGAGATTGTGTATGTGTTTACTCCCAAGAAGGATGTTTATTGCAATGTTTAGAATAGTTGAAGGATGTCTTTTATTCATAATTATATCATAAGGATGTCCTTTGAGTTTGTGTTGAACTTGAAGGAGATTTTAGCCCAAAACTCTAATTTCTAGCACAAATGCCTTCTCAATCATATATACTATTTTGTGGTGGTGATAGATAAATTGACACGACATATTCAAGAAGTATATGGTGTATGTTATTTGCAAACGATATGATATTAATTGATGAGACACATGATGAAGTCAATCATAGACTAAAGATTTGAAAACAAGACCTTAGTCTAAAAACTTTAGTTTGAGCAGGACTAAGACACAATTAAAATTTGATGTAGCATCACTGGAGGCAGATAGAAAAGTGAGAATTGATACACAAATTATTCTCAAGAAAGAAGTGTTAAGTATTTTGAGTCTATAATTTATGAAAATTGGATGACCAATAAGAATGCCACACATTGTATTGGAACAAAGTGGATAAAATAATTTGATGTCATATATGGGAAGAATATGCTACCGAGACTTAAAATTAAATTTTATAGAATAGTTGTTGAACCGACTATATTGTAAGAAGTGAAATATTGGCTAGTCAAAAATTCATGCGATCAAAAGATGAAGTTAATATAAATGAGGATGCTTAGATAAACGTGTGAGCATGTGGAATAAATAAGATCATGAGAGAAGGTATATGGATAAGGTGGGAATAACCTACATAGCGGACGTGATACAAGAATTGAGACTGGAATGATCTAGAAAATATGAATAAAAAGGATCACAAATGCCCCATGGGAAGGTGTGAAAGGTTAACAATGATAAGTTTGAGGAGATGTATAGATCGATCAAAAAAGAATTAGAGAGAGATGATTAGAAATGTCACAAAACATTCTCATTTTATCGAAGGCATGACTTTAAATAGGAGAGCTTGAAGTTAAAAAAAATTGATGTTAGACAATTTGTAGTTAGTTGAGTATTTTCTATGTTCCAATGGTAGAGCAGAGGGAGCATCTATCAGTTCTCTTACCATTTTATTATTATGCTAGCATCTTATTCTTCGATTTTATTAATACTATTATTATTTTTTACTTTGTTGATCTTTATTATTTTCTTCAATATTTTTATTATAATTTTTACTCTTGCATTTCTTTCCTATCATGTTATGAAAATTCGAGAGTTCATCGAAAATTGTCTCTCTATCTTACATAGGTAAAAATATAGTTATGAAAAAATCCACCCTTCGCACATTCCACTTGTGGAACTCTATCGGATGTTGTTGTTGTTTTAATGTTTTCTTTTTGATTAAAAATTAAATTCTTACGATTTTGTTAAATTTGCAATCAGAAGTTGTTATATTACTCCTTTTGTTTCAATTTGTTTGTCTTGCTTTCTTTTTCTCTGTTTAAAAAACAATATATATTTTGGTAATTTTTAAAATTTAATTTTCCACATTTTAATTTAAAATAATAAATTAATAATTAGCTCTTTAACTTTTTGACATTCCGTCGAATTAGAATCGCACAAATTTCTATATAGTAGAAGATAGTTTCAACATGGTTCCTTAGTTGTCAATTTATTTATTTTTCAAATATGGGTATTTTGGTCATTGAACTAATAAAAAACTAATATCTATAAGCTACGTGTCTTACTATTACCACTCAATAGACACGTAGCAGACCCCAATTTTACGTCGCCTAAAATTGTCTCTATCACTTGGCTATTTCAAGTTGAGTTTTTCATCAGAAAAAAATATTTAGTTGTGTTTTAAAACAAAAATAGAGGAAGAAATTGAAGAAGGAGGTAAGGGGAGTTGTGATTATTTAACTGTCTTGAAGGGAATTGATAAGCTCAAACACATTTTTGAATCAACAAAATAAGAAGAATTGATAAGCTCAAACACATTTAGGATTTATAAATACTAGAATTTGTCTATGTTACATGCGCTGCCAAAAAAAAATGTTTTGCTTATGTTAAGGACACACATCTAATTTCTTTTCATCTTTCCACAGCTTATTGCATTTGTGCGTGTTTTTCTTGTGAAATTGACAACAAATTGATAATCTTTACTTGTATTTGTATGTGTTAATTTGTCTCTGTTTTGGTGACATCGAAGCAATTGCTATCGAGCTAGCCTCATCAGCCTTTTGTTTAGTACTTTTAAGTCATATTATTATTGAAGTAATTGTATACTTCCATCCATGTATGTGCAACTGTGATTTGACTCTTTTTCTCACCTTTTCTACTTTTTATGAGTATTAATTCTTCACCTTATCTACTTGTGTAACATGTCTCAATTCTATGATTTAAGATCAGAACAACTGAAGCTAATCTCAACTAACTTTTTGTACGAGCATCACATTTTGTTATTATGTAAAATAAGTTTACATAACTACGTAAAACTTGGTTCAGTGTCATCTTTTGGTATATACTTGTAATCCAACTTCTTATTGACATCAAGTTTTACAATTTACTCAGTTTCAGAATACTCTAAACATATGTTGGGCATGTGCTGGCACGGGCCATGGTTTTCTAGTAAATTAAAATGAAAAGGAGTATATATTTAAGGAAGACAAAAAAGGTACTTAATTTTGATAAACTTAATGTTCTGTATTCAAATCTAGACATGTAGATCTTAATGCACATCTTAATATTTAGATTAAAATTGTTCAAAATCTAATTGAAATTGATAATTCGAATAGAATTTTTTAAAATTAATTTATTGGTAATGGATTATTGATTTAGCAATTTTGATAACGATTTTGACTTTTCTTTATTATCGGGTTATCGATTATTAACAGTTTGATGTTTTTTTCTTAACGGGTTAACCGATAACCCGATAGTAAATTAAAATAATTATATTTATACCATTTGGTATATAAAGTTCTTGACTTAGAGTTAAGTCTCATACTTTTATTTCTGTCCCTTTCAATTTTTCGATTATTCTACAATATGACATTGTTTGTTTTTGAGTAAGATGCAATCTGTCAACTCAGGTGTATGATTTTTTATTTTATTTTTGGATCAAATATTAATGAATAAATCGATAATCGAACCAATAACGATCAATAACCACTACACAAATAACAGATAAGTCAATATCTTAATGATTTTTAACGATTTAGCATGTCTACAAATTAATAATCGATAAATTTCAAAATTGAACCTATCGATATGCAACCTTATGTTTATTCAGATTCAAACGTCTTATACGAGGTTTAAAAGTGGTAGAAAATATATTTGTTGGACCATTTTAAACCTACCCAAACGTGAGGGACTAGTTTTGTTTATTTTTTCTTAGCAGATCCCTCCTAAATCCTTTTGTCCTTGTTAACGTTTTGTTCAACGATAATAACAAAGTTCTCCAGCCTCGCTATCTCCGCCTTCCTTTTCTCCCTATTTAAACTGCTCACTCCATTTCCCTCTCAACTCCCGTCGTTAACTACCTCCGCCGTCCGCCGGCGAATCCAAATTCCGTTGAATCACCGTATCATCACCCCCCGATCACCGGAAATATCCTTAATTTTGCGAAATCTCCAGTGAGAAAAACAATGTCGCACGCTATTAACTTCTTTGTTTCA